CCCCCCCCCCCCATTTTGCTCCAAAAGAAACTGTTTATGGAAGAATAAGTAGTTTCCTTAGGAACATAATCAAATAAATAATTGGATGCCATTTTATCTCCCTCCCTTTTTCAATTCCACCCTTTTCTTTCTTTTTCTTTCTTTCTTTCTTTCTTTCTTTCTTTCTTTCTTTCTTTCTTTCTTTCTTTCTTTCTTTCTTTCTTTCTTTCTTTCTTATATTTCAAAGCCATTTGTCCCTTTTTTGCTTCGGTCTCCTTTAGTCTTGGGGTCCTCATTCTTAGGTTCTTATAACCTTAGTGCATTCTCCCATCACCTCCCATTTTGCCAACTTTTTCTTCTTTTTGCCTAAGTCTGACAACACATCATAGATTTGTATTCCCCCCACCCCTTGCCCAGAATTCACTCACCTTTTACTGAAGCAAAAGATAAAGATAAAATACGCTCAGGTCTCAGGGCAAAAGCGTATACAGGGCGTGTGCAGAGATACACAAGCTTCCGAAATCTTTCAAAATAACCTGGCCACACCAGGAATATACATTTTAGTTCCTCCCAAGCTGAGATTTAAAGTATTCCAAAGGCTGGTGGGAGGAGGGAGGGAAAAGTGTCATATCCAAGGAATTAGCACAAATACCCAAGTTGCGGAGATCTGATTGGTTGGTTGTCTCATCAATCACTGATTTTTATCCTTATTCCTGAGGGGGAAAAAAGGTGGTATTGGAAAGAATAGTGAGATTGCAAAGTGAGACAAGGGAATGCACTCAATATTTTCAATGGAGTAAGTTTTACAGTACTACTCCAAGAGGTAGGTGGGTGATTGCATTTTGTTTCTGATACTAAAAATAAGTTTTAGGTCATATATGCCTTGGTTGAAAGAACTTGGTATACACATGAACAGGGGAGGAATCGTATCTTAGGCACCATACAAGCTTCTTGTGCAGAAAGTAGCAGGTTTCTCTGATAAAAAAAAAAAGAAACTCGAGAGAGACTAAATAGTAGGGGATGTGAAAATGTTTGCTTGTGTTCTGGTCATCCAACTGATGAGCAAGAAATCTGATTTGATATCAAGTTTCTCTATGCAATTTTCATAGTTCTTCTCTTTTTAAAAAAAAACAAATTTTATTAATTTTCAAAGACAATACACAAACAAACAAAACATAAAACGTAAGAACATAGAACATTTTTTAAGAAAGCAAATAAAACATCTTATTTAAGTACAGCATAGTTCCAAATTATCACATTTCCATACAAACACGATTTAATATGCATCTTATGTATTCAGCTTCATATCTTATTACTCTTTTTCCAACTTCTCACTATTTTTCCCTTTAATTCTATTCAATTTTATTCATTAAACTTATACTTTCGTCTGTCTTATTTACGATTTCATATGTGCTCATCCAACAATCTTAATTCTCAGTAAACAAACATAAACAAACAAAACATGTAACATGAAAACATAAAACTTCTTTTTAGAAAGCGGCTTAACCCCGGGTTACATCTTTCTGTACAGACATAAATCAGATTCATGCTCACCTTATATACTATTTCAATCTTATTTAACATTCTATATTTTCTATATGTCTTCTCCCCTCTTTTCACTCTCTTAATTCTATTTTATTTACTTCATCTCAATTTAAATCATTATACTTGTATCTTTTGTCCGTTCTTTTTCAATTGTCTATTTATCTTTTCTCTTTAATACAAAATTTTTCCTGTAATCAGTGGTTGAAGTATGACGCCTTTCTATCTTTCCCCCAATTTTAACACTTAAAATAATACATAATTTCCATTCTGATTCTGCTTAGTACGTTCTACGTAACATTTTAAAATAAAAAACATAATAAGCTTATAGTATAGTAAAAACAATGTTCCATAACAAATTAATTAATTAAACTCTATTATTAAATCTTAGACATTTTACACATTCCCTACAATATAAAAAACATAATAAGCTTATAGTATAGTAAAAACAATGTTCCATAACAAATTAATTAATTAAACTCTATTATTAAATCTTAGACATTTTACACATTCCCTACAATATTCTATTAACACATATAATATTCATAGTTCTTCTCAAAGCAGACTAAACGTGCCACAAATCTCTCTGTGGCATGAATGACCAGGGAATTGAAAGTTGTGACAGATGGGAAAACAGAAGTTTCAAGTAGATGGAGAAAGAGAATATGTTCATATTTGGAAAATATATAAAAAGATGTTGTAAATGTTTTTTTTTTAATTTTGAAAGCATGCATTAGGCTATAGACAAGATGTGAAACACACTGAGAAGTATGGTGGTCGTTCTGATTTTAGCACAAGTCCATTCCTAGTTTCTTACTGTGTTTAATATCTTTTCTGCCATATATAATGGAAGACCAAATCGATATGTTCATAAAATGCTTGCAAGTCACAGGTAATCTTCACAGTTCTTTTCTGCAATATCAACTGTTAATTCAGGATCAGAGATCTTGCACTTGCTACAAGAGCTGCTTGTTCATATATCTTTTACATTATATGTGTGTGTGTGTGTGTGTGCTTTTAAAGTTTGCTATGTTGGAGTTTGCTGTGTTCCAAGACCAATAAACACAGACCGACTCCCAACCAATCAGGATGAAGAAAAAAACCATTCTGGGACAGCAGTAGGCTAGCCCCAAATTGAAAACTGAAACAGCTGTGAAAGTCTGACTCAAAGACCAACACAATACAGAAGCCTGATGATGGCAGATGAGATTCTGCTGAAACATTGCTACAACTTTAAAAGCACAACTATAATGACGTGGGAAAATACCCGAACAAAGCTGAATACCATACATGTAAGTACCCACGAAAACTTAAGAAAACATATGTGTGTG